TATTTGTGTATTATTCTGCCTTATGTTTATACCACCCCTCCAGACCACACCGCACCACAGCAATCCACTCAGTCAACCGAACAGAACTGAACAGAAGAGAGCTCGGCGTGTACTTTGACATTTTCATGTAGCAAAGCAATTTGTTGTAGTGGCGTGTTATTGTTGCTGTGTTCCCCTTTTGTTAACCACCAGCGTCACCTCAATGAACTTTAAGTGGCAATGCCCACGTTGAAGGCACCAAAGAGAACCACCCAACCCAATCCTATACCATCCTGAAAGAACCACCCACCAGGCGCTAGTCCGCCCTCTGTTTAATTTTCGCATTTTCCGTTGCGAGTTTTCATCTTTGATTGACATACAAACAATTTAGCTGAATGGCACTTGAAGCAGCAGCAGCAAACCGCAAACAGAAGTAACAATAAGGCTGGCTGCAACCACCCCCTAGTAGAGGCCAACCACAATAAAATTTTTGATATTTTGTATTTATGGCAAACTTTTTGCCGGACTTTGGCTTCGAGAGGCATCGCAGGAATGTGTCTGGTGACAACTGCAGACCCGGAGACTGTTTGCCCAAGTGCTAAATGGAAACTTCCTCCAGCAAATTAACAGCCCAGAGACGGATAGCGTGGAGAAGGGGGAGAAGGAGTAGGATGAGGGACCACCAGAGTGGAATATTTCTCTTGTCGGTTGTGGATTTTTCTCCTCTCCTCTTCTCATCGTTTTGTCTTTTTTTTTTTGCATCTCGCGGATGCTTACATCTCGAAATCAATCAACTCAAGTGTCGCTGCATTTATGGAGGAGACTGTGTGTGTGGTCCACTATCAAAGGGCGCGCCGACCCCCAACCCCAGTCCCAAAATGCATTTGTTGTAAGTGGCCGTGTCTATGGGCCGCCGCCGCCGCCGCTGCTTGCATCCATTCCAGCGTCCACCTCGCACACAGGTGAAATTTACCACTTCAATGGCTAAAAACAACATTTGAATGCGACAGTCGACAGTCGACAACGGCTACAACGGATGTTGGGCTCTAATGTGTGCAAACAGTGAAACCGAACGAACGAATGAGCGAACCCAGCCAACGTATCGCTTCGGTACGGATCGGTTCAGTTTGGATCGGATCGGATGGAAATATTACCTGGGGATAGCAGTACCAGTACCTGGCACCAATGAGTCGGCAACGTCATATCGCATCGCATATGCATATGGATGGATGTCGGTGGCATCGTCGGGCTCTTTTTCGCCTTGGAGTTTTGCCGCTCTGTCAATATTTTGCTTATGTTTGAAAGCCACCATCATGGTGATTACCTGTTCGATGGCGAAAAGAAACCCGAACCAAACTGAAAAGAAAATCCCGCATAGCCCTCTAAACGCTGTGGTAGGTGCTCTCAAGTGGCCAAGTCCAAGGGGGAGACACTTTTCTCCGGTCTCCGTCAAGTGTCGGTTCGGTCGGGTCGTAGCTTTGAAGTGCAGCAGCGATCTCCAAAAAGTTTTTGCTCTCTCAAGTGTCCGTATGTGACAGGGTCATTACGGGCCCTTCTATCATCATCATCAGCGCAGTCAGGAGACTCCAAAGTCAACTGCCTGTGGGAGAAGACCTCCAACTAATTAGCTGAATATGTTCTGCAATTAAAAAAGAGCTTCAAAAAACTTCCCTGCCAGTTGAAGTGGTAATCAATGGGGTGACGATGTCTTTCCACTTGATTCTTAGACTTGAAATCAATTTCAAATGAGGCAAACAAGTGGAAAAGGAACTGCTGATAAATAACTTGTTAAAATGTCAGGCCTCGGTTTCACTTCTCCAGAAAATCATTTTATATTTACAGATAGCAATAAAGATAGTTTGTATTTTTTAATATATAAAACAATTATATAATATCAGGAGATAGGGTACATGCAGAACATATTAAATACATATCTTCCCTCAATCATGACCTCGATATTAATTAGTATAATTTTCCAATTTATTTTAAATTATAAAATCAACTGGCGAATTCAAGGGAATCATTTGGCAATGCCTGAGCAAGCATTTAGCAGGTCCATCGATTGCCAAACAAATGAGGCAGCTGAATTATTCAAGATGATTACATGGCTTCTGTGATTAACACCTGGCCAAAAGGCTGGCACATCTCGACGATGAAAGACGGCCCTAAATCGTCAGCTCAGCCAGTGAGAAACTGCGAGAATTTATTTTTGCTGCTTCTCTTTGTGTATCTATATATCTGCACATGTGTGAGTGCGAGTGTGAATGTATAGGCGTTTTGCACTTGTATCGGATTATGAGCAACAAACATTTTTCGGCCATGTTTGTTTACTTTGCTCCGCCTCGAATGTGTGTCTGTGTGTCTCTCTCTCTTGTATTTGTTCCCGCATCTAGGTGGCAGTGTGCGTGCCTGCTCATCTGTATCTGCGTACGTGTCTGTGTGTATCTGTATCTCAGTCGCTCTTGCGCATGTCTTATGCGCAGGCCGTGCGAAGAGTTTAGTGCCGTTCCCCTTGGAGTTGCTCGAGTGTTAAGGCCAACTGTTGGAGCGACCCTCGCAGAGCGCCATTTTCGCTGTGGCAGAAATTAACGAAAATCAATTTCTCCGCAAATATATTTCGATCTACATACATTAATACCTATTTACATACATACATTTCGGCTAGTATGTGTGATTCTATGGCTGTGCCAGCGGAATGAAGATGCGGCCAAACCAAATACTTGGTTAGTGGAGTTTTGATAGGAAATTAATTTACGCAAAAGTCGGATAGCTATTATTGGATTATATCTACTTATAGGAAAGCAGGAGGAGTATATTTCTAATTGTATTAGAAATTATCCAACTTTAAACAAGGAAACTAACATATATTAAAAAAAAATTGATGATGATTTACATTCATTAGAAAATCCTATTCCTATCTTTCATTCAATGTTCAGCCAGCTAAAAATTTAAAGCAAAGAAAGTTGCACGCACTTAAGCCCCACCAACTCTGTGTGCTTCCTCCTGGCTGCTGAGGGTTTGGGGCGCCTGCACCCAGGATCCTAATTACATTTTACTAGATAAATTGTAAACTTTTTCTGTGCACGCTGCTGCTGCTGCTGCCCCCAGCTCGAGTTCCAGCTCCAGCTCCAGCTCCTGCCACTGGCTGCCATTGCAGCAGCTTCTTCCAACAGTTATATTTTGTTTGAGTTCTCTGCGTCGCTGGCGTCGTCTTGCGCTGCAAAGTAAACAGACAAGAGGCAGGCGGCAGCAGCAGGAGAATGGCTGCTGGGCCCTGGGCTGGCGGCCTCCCCGAGAGGACACCCTGTATGTACGTGCTGGTTACGTTTGTAAGCGTATTTCCGGCAAAACGGATGTCTGCCACAGTAACGGCAGCACCAAATGTTGGCTCCGGCCAAACCCGCCCAGATCGTCCTCAGCCTCGAAGGTCCTCTGCACTTCGGCTTTGCTCCTCGACTCGACTCGACACTGCTCTGCTCTACTCTGCGCTGCTCTTCTCCTGGTGAAAGTCAGTCAGTGCCGGTTACACATTCTCAATAGTGCTTGGCACTGCCGACGAAGCACGCCTGCCATTAGTGGTAGTCATGGGTGGCATGGGGCGTGGGGCATGTGTGGGTGGGTGGCTTACTTATAGGGGGAGTTGGGTTCTGTATCTGCTTCAGTTCCTGGCCAGCCACTGTTGCACTTCAAGTTAGCGTGCGTCTATCTCTCTCTCTCTTTCTCTCGATGTGTGTGTGTGTGTGTGTAGTTTTGTGCAAATATTTGCATCTAGAATATTTGCGCGCTCCATCATAATTCAAACACAGATGCGCTGTTTGCAGAAGAGCAATCATTTTGACATGCAACTCGCTTCAAAACCGAATTAAGTGGCATTCAGCGTCAGTCACGAGAAGGGCCCGAGCAGAGTGTGTTCCCCGTGCTCCCCGGTTCGCCCATCAAATGTATCGAAACTATCTGGCAGCTAAAGTTGAAGCCTTGGCAGTGATTGGCACTCACGCAGCAGTTTATAAAGGCAATTTAAAGGGAAAATAAACTAATTTACACCAGTTTAAAAAACGCAATTTAAACTGCGCGCCTGCGATGTTTGCTGCGCTATCGTTCATCATTTGATACCTAACAACTTCCATCTCTAAGACCAGGTGGTGCCATCTACAAGTGGGACGAATGAAGATTGCATGCTCCATCTAACGCTCACGGGATGGTTCAAGTCTTCGCTACAAGGCAATTTTTGGAAACTCGTCGGTAAATTTATAAACTTTGGCGCTAGTGACGAATGGTCGTGGCCGAGATTCAGACGCCGACCAAACGGACAGCCAAAGAACATTCTTGAAAAACGTATTTTGAGGATTTATTATAAATGTTCAGTGGTCAATAGTTAAGGACATAGTCAAGTGGTCAACTGCTCTTTGTTTGCTTTCATATTCTCCTCCTCCTTCTGCTCCTTGCTGGTCTCTAAATGCTCCGTGTCCTGCTCCTGGCTGGTCTTCAAGTACTCCTCGTACTGCTCCTGCGTCAACAGCTTCTCCTTGATCAAGTCGCAGTTTTCAATTTTGGGCAGCAGAATGGCAAAGTAGCCGGCACCCTCGGGCAGCTGTTCCAGCAGCTTGGGCTCTGCAACCAGAGCAGCGTTAACCTCCACCAGCTTGCCGCGTATGCAGCTAGGTATCTTGTAGGTCTGTCCCGTCTCCGTTGTGAGCAGCGCTAGTGTAGAGTCCGCCTGCAGGATCATGCCACCCTTCTTGCCCTTGCCCTTGACCACATTCTGGCTGCGATCCACGTTCCCCACATCAAAGCTGAGTGTAGCAATGCCTTGGGCCAGGGCGGGATGCGTGGGCGCCAGGCAGATTAGACAGATGCGGTTGGAGTGGTACAGCACCTGGTAGGCGGCGTTGGCTCGGATGTAGTAGTAGCGTGTGAAGAAGCGATCCACGACACTGGGATAGTTCGGGTCGAAGCCATCTGTGATGGGGCTCACAGGCTGGCCGCAAATGCGCTGCTGCTCCTCGTGCTCGAAGTAGAAGGACTCCAGGGGATCCGCGGTGGCTGCCATTATGCTATTCGGTGTCTCCGTGCAGCAGTCTCTCCTTGTATCTGGCTTGCTGTTCGCGGGCCTTGGCTCGGTTTGCAGCGGAGCGAGCGATGCGTTCGCCCTTCAGGCACTTGACCACCTTGTCGTCAATCGAATTGCAGATCCCAATGAACCTGCCGAAAGCGTTCTGCGGGAGTTCAGGAAAATGTGTTATAAGGATTTCCTGTGGCCCCCTTAAGTAACTCACGTTGTCGTGGCAAGCTTGAAGCTCCTCAATTAGTTTGTTGCAGGCCGGCGTGTGCAAATGGGAAGCCAAGTCCGTATGCATTTTCAACTGTTGACAGAATTTTTATTCCAGAGCCCAGGTGGTTATGTGAGCGAACGTGCTTAACCTACTGTGCCCCCCTCTAGTTAAACAGTCAAACAACTTGAGTTAAAACATGGAAAATATTACTGTGCGTACATTTTTCATGTATGTCCGTCCTTTCTCTATAATTAAAAAAACAGTATTCCCACGATGCGTTTCACCTGATCTGCGTCAAAAATTTGCAAGTTTCATAATATTCGTGAGTAAATTGAAAATACCGCTGGTCAACAATGTGTTAAGCGCTCTCTGTCCCTTATGAGATATCATATTCCTCGGTTTTAATATTCGGGCTAAGATTACCAATTAGCTAAGACCATCTGCATTGAACATACAATTTTACCCGATAGATGATTGTTAAAGTTTAAGGGCTTTATATTATTGGATTGTTTATAAAATAAGGGTTGAATGGTAACCTTGACGCTGTTTTCGACAAGCGTTCCAGCCCTGCAAACAGCTGTTGCTGTGAAATTTTTCCCAACAAACGCAATTGTTTATTTTTTCGGCTGGTTTGATTGAAAAATAGACAATTAATTTGCCATGCCTATTATGTACAATACGGGCGAGTGGTTCAAGGTGCGGCCAGACTACTACAGGTAATTGGAGAGTCGTGTATTTATTTAGTGATTCAATTGATTTATGTGTACGCCCCCGGAACAGAAAAGTGGAGCTGGCGACGCCCGACTGGCCGCTGGATCTGGACCTGGAGTACATGCAGGTGGCGGCAGCACCTTATGGCGGTCCCCTGGCGGCAATACGCGATCCCACCAAGCTGGTGCCCGTCAAAGGCACCGCCCGCCCAATGGTTCGGATCTTTGACACCACCGGCAAGGAAACGGGTCACATATTGGTGAGATGTTGAAATATATATATAGAGGCTGCGTTAACATATTTGCTAATGCAGTGGAACCATGGGAAGCTCATTGCCATGGGCTGGTCGGACACGGAGGAGCTGATTTGCGTGCAAGAGAATGCCAAAGTTTTTGTCTTCGACATGTTTGGCAAGGAGAAGGAATCGTACAGTATTGGAGACGAGGCTAGCGTCACAAAGATTGTGGAGGCCAAAGTGTTTCAGTCAGCCGCTGGCACTGGAGTGGCTGTCATGACCACATCCGGCCGAATCTTTCTTAAACTTAACAGCAGCAAAACGGAGCGAAAGCTACCAGATATTCCCAGTAACAAGATAACAAAATTAACCCAAAAGAAACCCCTTCTAAGCATTGCCTTCACGTACAGATTCCAGCATCAATTGCTCCTGCTGGGAAATCGTAACCGAAGGACGAAACAGCTACTGTCTCCTGGGACGAGAGCGTGAGGTCATCAAGCTGTTCCCTGGCGAAACTGTCGGCACCATTACCGCCAATCTATTCGAGAAGCCTCACGATCGAATTATCATGATCTCCGTTTCGTACAACCACCAGCATCTGGCACTTTACACGAACACGGGCCTCCTCTGGCTGGGCAGCGTTGACATGCGGCAGAAGTACTGCGAGTTCGACACGGGCCGCAAGGACATGCCCCTTCAGATAGAGTGGATCATGAACAGCGACAACAGTGAAGCGGACGCCGTGGTCATTTCCTACCCGTCCTATCTGCTGATCGTGAATCGGAACGCGGATCGCAGCGACTTCCCCTACGATCCGATCATGTTTCTGGTGGCCGAAATGGACGGCGTCCGCATCATCACTCAGAGCTCGCACGAGATGATACAGCGACTGCCAAAATGCGTGGAGAACATCTTTGCGGTGAACAGCCAGGAGCCGGCCAGCTATCTCTTCGAGGCGCAGAAGAAGTTCGAGGAAAAGTCTTACAAGTCGGATGAATATCTGAGCATGTGCCGCGACAAGATCGAGCTGGCTGTCACCGAATGCATTGAGGCTGCCTCCTTTGAGTTCTGTACCGAAACGCAAAAGAGTCTTCTGAGGGTGAGCGCTCCATGTAGATCTCCAAAGTCTCGTACACTAACTCTGAGAGCTTTTACAGACTGCAAACTTTGGCAAGGCCTTCGTACTCGGCCACAATCCCGACGAGTATATGCGCATCATGCGGATACTGCGAGTTCTTAACACACTCCGACACGAGAGAATTGCCATGCCGCTTACATTCAAACAGTAGGTTGTCCTCAAATGAATGTGGAACTGAATGACTGACGACTTCCCCTTGCAGGTTTTCGCATCTCAATCCGGAGGTCATCCTGAGTCGCCTGGTATTCCGCAAGCACTATGCCGTCGCCATCCAAGTGGCCAAGCATCTGAATCTGCCCGAATCCTGGATACTTGAGCACTGGGCCTACCACAAAGTCATGAATGATCCCAGTGGGTAACACTCAAATGTCAACAAAAATCCTCCTCTCTAAGGTCAATTTTTTTACAGATGACAGCGAGGTGGCCCGCAAGATTACGGAGAAGTTTAAGAATCCCACCGTCGAAGGTATTTCATTCTGCAATATTGCCGAGAAGGCGCATCAAGCAGGACGCGATGATCTGGCCATTAAGCTTCTGGAACTGGAGCCGCGTGCCTCGCTGCATGTTCCGCTGCTGCTGAAGATGCGCAAGTTCGATAGAGCCGTGGCCAGTGCTACACAATCGGGGGACACAGAGCTGGTAACCAAAGTTCTTCTGGAAATGAAGATGCACATGATGCTGTCCAATCTGCATGTAAGTAAACCCAACCAGTCTGAGGAAAATCTATTATCTTTGGATATTCCCCCAACAGATGACAATTCGCGATTACCCGCTGGCGTTGAACATGTACAAGAAAATCATGCGAGAGACGAACCGTGCCGGGCTCTATGGCATATACAACACAGAGGACGATCAGAAGGCAATCGCCGAGTTTCACTTTAGGAATGCCATCGAGAGTAAGGACTTGGAGTCGAATCTGTCGGTGATTGGCAACGCCTACACCCAAGCGCGATGCACTGTGGAGGCAGAGCTCTGTGCCGAAACGAGCCGACTTTTTAAGCTGCAGAAGACGCTGAGCACCAAGTACAACGCCAGTCTAAATGGCCTGTCCGTGCACGACACCATTGAGCAACTGCTAAGGATGGGCGAACTGAAGGAAGCGGAGAAGATAAGAAGTGACTTCAAGGTGCCCGATCGCCGCTTCTGGTGGCAGCGCATACTCAACCTCGCCGAGCAGCAAAAGTGGGACGAACTAGAGAAGTTCTCCAAGAACAAAAAGAGCCCCATTGGCTATGAGCCTTTTGTAGAGGTCTGCCTTAAGTATGACAATGCCAGAGAAGCGCGCAAATACATCCCGCGCTGTCGAGACAATCGAAAGGTTCTCTGGTTTATAAGAGCAAGGTGAGATCCAGCCATTACTATAACATTAAAAGTCCTTCCAAATTGTGTGCTTTGAATCTCCCACAGCTATTTCGAGGAGGCCATCGACTGCGCCTTCGAGCAGCGCGATCTGCACAGCCTCTACGAACTGCAGAAGAAGGAGAGCATTATCAATGATCGCAATTTGCTGGCCAAGACCTGCAATTGCATTGCCATGCTGGAGACACGAAAGTAGCGGAGCGGCAACATTCCTAGTTATAGAATAAATTAAACTATTTGCTTTTAATAAACAATAACCATTTTATGTGTTCTCATGCCAAGAGATTCGTTTGTTTACTGGCAACCTAACGAATGAGTTAAGTCCAAGGCATCACTTTTTGTGTCAGTGACTCAGGTGCAGATATAGTGGAAGATATATCTTTAGGGGTTACAAACTACCCCATGTTTGTGTCTCAATTTTTTGCAGTGTATCCGCCCTCTTCCTCCAGGTTTCTCAAATATCAGAGCAATTACAAAAATGATTCATTTAAGATTCGTTATCAAGGACATTTTTATTATACATATGTATATGTAGTTGTATGTATATGTATGTAATAGATCACATAAAGCAAAAAGAGAATATTTTTCTACATTTGTTGTTGATTTTTTGTTTTTTTTTTTTCATGGTTGATGATGTTGATAATGATAATGCGCCTTCAGAGGATTAATGCACGAAATTTTGCGAAATTCTCTACTGGACGCACGGGATTAATTGATTGTATGCTGGATGTCGATGGATGTTTATCTTTAGGCTTCAGTTAATTCTCTACATATAATTACGATTTTAGGTAAATTACAATTACAATACATTATATAGTACATAGTAGTATATAGGTAGAGTATGAATACATTATCTATTCATTTATCTTGCGTTTCGTTATTTGTATTATTATTATTATTTATTTTTTAAGAGTTATTTCTGATTTATCATAGGTTGGTTTTTTTTTTGCGTTTGCGTGTGGTTTTGTTTTGTTTTTCGTTAATTTTACATACATATATTAAATATATTTACGAACATAACAGCAGTCTTATATAAGATGACATACACTTAAATATATGCATAGAAGTATATGTGTATATATAGTAGATATATATATATATAAAGAAATATACATATTCCATTTATTGTATTCATTAGAGGGTTTGAGTTGATTTTCTCCGTTTCGCCGAAAGTTAAGGATCGTGCCCTGGCAGGGAACGGGCACCCACTGCCGGGATACTCCCCGCTTCGGTGTGCCGAAGACACCATTCCTTTGCCTTTTCCATTTCCATTTCCGTTTCTATATAAAAGTTGTTTGGCTAAACTAGGGCGACTCCGTTGGGAGTCGCTTAAGCGTGAGTTCTTATAGATATTGTATATGTAGATGTATGTAATCGTATCTGTACCATTATCTGTGGCTACCCATGTGTGTGTGTGTGTGTTATCTTTTAGTATCTATTAGGGACGCAGAACTATTTAGTTTGTTGTTTTTTAAGACGCTGCGCGTCTGCGAAATGCGCTCTGAAAAATTTGTTTTGGCGGCTGACTAAATTGAGGTTATCTCTATGTACGATCGATGATGTATTTAATTTATATACCTATATGTATATGTATATATAATATATAATGTATGTTAAAACTTTCAATTATTTTTTGTTTTGCTTTGTTCTGTTTGAGTGCTTAAGGAACCCGATGCTCAGGCTAGGAAGTTCGATTGAATTTTGAGGCTTGCATGCA